AAGCTATTCAAAGAATTTCTGTGTCCATTTCACTCCAAAATGAAAATTAATTTACCATGACTGAGACCAAAGAACGTTTGTGCCGTATTTTTGTTGATTTCCTTCGATTCCGAAATTGTGTGACATTAGTATTGTCAATATGAGCACAAAATGAACTAATGATTCGGATTTTTATATTAGACATCATAGTGTGGATGTGAGTATGTGAAAGTAGAAAACATTCACACCCTAGTCCAACGTTCTGTCTATCGTTTAATGGTTCAATATAGTACAACTTCAGAAAAAAGAACTTTCAATATTGGCTATTCAATTTCCATATGTTAACTATTTCAAATTATTATTTCTGGTAAATAATATTTTATATCTTCATTGTTTAAAAAATTTATTCAGTAGAAATGAGACCATTAAAAAAGAATATTGTTTTTGATCTGAATTCATCAATTTTTCAACTGAAATACATTATTATCAATAGGATTCAACATTCAATGATCAGTTTTTTGAAAAAAAGATTATTCAACATACTGATTTGAAATATCATCGATATTATTTTTATGTTTATTATTCCTTTTTAGGAATATCAATTTGGTTTCGAATTATTTCTGTTGTATCTAAAGTGGAAGAAAAAATTTTTAAGGCACATTTTGTATTTTGTTGAACGGGCTACATTTTAGTATAAATATTTTTGAAAAACTATTGGTTCTAATAATTAAATATTAATTATTATTAATTAACAGTTATAGAAAAATACAGCTTTACCATTTTATATTTATATATCAATATCATCTTCATTTAGACGAGAATTGAAAAGACATTTTGTCAAATTTTATGCTTTTATTATAAGAAAATAAATAAGAAATGAACAAGATGAATCTGTTCGAATAATAACTATATGTCATTAATTTTTAATTCCTGTTAATAATTTTTTTTAGTAGCTATAAGCTATCAACTTTTCAAAATAAACAACTCAAATCACTGAAAAACGTTCGTTCTTTCATACTTAATGAAAGAGAATATAAATTTTTCGATAAATCAAATTTGATTGTCTTATCCTAAATGAAAATGTCTTTAGCTTTTTTTATTCAATGAGAATTTTCGTATCTTTTCATTTATGTACGTACAACAGATTTAACAAACTAGAAATTTTCAAGTTACCCTGAGAATATTTTTGTCTCAATTGAATTTAATTTATGCAGATATTTACGGATCAGAAATTGATCTGGGCACATGCTTTACTCTTCCAAATAATAAAGAATATTAGGTTAAGCTTGCTTAGCAATGGAGTTATATGTATTTATTAAGTGGCTATGACATGTAGAATATCCTCTATAGTAAATAATGTTGACTGTTTAGTAAATATCAAATATTTTAGTGTTCTTTTTTAGTGCCGTTTTACTAATTTAGTATATTTTTCTCGATATTTAAAATATCTTGTCTATTATTCTATTTCGAAAGAATAGACATGTTTAAAGAACAAGAGCGTATCATTACAGAAGTTGTGCATGATTTATGTACATTTAATCCATTATTATCATCAGAGAGTACTTGTTTACCACATGATTGTTACATGATATTTGTTGGTCGTTTAACAAATTGTGAACATTTACAAAAGCTGACAAGAACTAATGATTCAACTGAAAATTTCAAACAGTATGCAGGAGCAACAAAATCATCATTTACAATGATGGAAACAGAAGAAATGGAATTTTTTTGAAATATATTACTTTTGAAAATGATATTAATACTGAAAATATTATTAATGATCGTCAAAATTATTTTGTTTATGAAGATCATGTTAATCTTTTTTTATTGATTTGGTCAAAAAAAAAATCATCTTATCAAAAATTAAAACAAATTTGTCGTTTCTATGAAATAAAAGAAGGAGTTAACGTTGATAATATAATAGTTGAACATAAAAGAAGAACTACATTATCAACACTTTGTTTTACTAAAAAAGATTTATCAATTGATGATGCTCAAGTAGTAGCATTAGCTTTATTATTTTATACAGGTACAAGAAGTGAAGCAGTTAGTCGTGGTGCTAGTCTTGTTGCTCGTCAAACTAATAGACAAGTTCTTGAAAAAAAAACAAAAGATGAAATGAATGAAGCTGCTGTTATACTTTTTTATTTAGTAAAAGCTCTTTCATAGATTCCTTATTATTGGAGTTATGTTACACGTGCTGGTGCATTAACTAACAGTGAATTACAATTATATATGCCTGGTTGTTTAATAACATGAGTTCAATTTAGTAGTTCAAAAAAGGAAAAGAAGTTGCTACAAATTTTGATTGTGTTCATCGTCATCTTTATTTGAAAATATATTCTTGAACTAGTCGTCCAATAAAACAAATTTCAAATTATGAAGAAGAAAATAAAATTTTATTTTTATCTCATTGATCATTTTTTGTCTTTAAACATGAAGTTGGTTATCATGGTCATCAACATGTCATTTATATGAGACAAGTTGAATTAGCACTTTGTAAATGGTCGGTGTTATGGGTTGATCATAATATATTCAGTGAAAATGCGGAAAATAAATAACATGTGAAAACAGCATCAGCTTAAGCACTTAATCTTAAATCAAGATACATTTCGTATTGTTATAGATATGACACGTAATAATGAAATACCTGCTCGTAATACAGGTGCACGCTTAGTTAAAATTTACAATGAATCGGTTTTAAAAATCACTGTCTTGTGTTTATAATAAATAAAGCTAATGCAGAAAAAAATTATCGATTCAGAACTCAATTCA